ACACTGAAGGGTGATAGTAAGGGGAGGGGGGTGGGGGGCTGTCTCTGCAAATATATTAGGGGGTAAGAAGTTTGCCCCTGCACCGTTCACAGGTCAGGCACTGTGTTTTATGATGGAACATGGCTTCTGTCGGCAGATTTATGCACATGTACGGCGTACACTTTTCCCTCAAACTGACTGAGAAGGATTCTCAGTTAAATCGGGATTTACTGCACAGCATGTTTAGAGCCAGTATTACAGACATAGACCATGTTTCAGACTAGATCCTGTGTGTCACACTGTCACAGAATCAAATTAAAAGATCTTACAGCAAAGGCAAGTGTCTGATGAGGAAGTTAATGAACTCATTTCTCAGCATGTTAACCCTCATTTTCATATGTGAGTCTTAATACTGAGTGTGTGCAGCCTGATGTGAACTATCAAGTGTTTGGACAAAGAAATCCAACCTCTGTTCTACTCTAAATGTTTCTCTTTGTCTTATCAGTCACAGTCTCTGCTCCTTGCACTCCTTCAGCCTCCCTGCCTCCCAAGACTCTCCTCCTGTCCAAATATTTCAGGGAGCAGGCCTCAAGTATGGTGAGGTGTTTCTGCTGTCTCTTTAGGTGGGCTGCAGCTGACGATATGATTGTGTGGTCAGGAGTGCTGAGCACAGACCACCCAGCAGGCAGCTGCTGCCATAATGACCCACAGGCAGGGCAGGAAACAGGAAACAGGAAGAAGAAGGCAGGACATCCTGTTCTTCTGCATGAGTGTGTGAAGCATGACATCACAAAGCATCATGAAGTATATCTGATCAGAGGCCAAATTTTCTGTCGTTCTAGCTCAAGAAAATTTCGTTCTTCTGTTTGTGTGTGCCTTGCTCTGTCTGTCTGCGCATCTTGTCTTCTCAGTTTGCCTTTTCAGCACTCACCCTGACACTGTTTTCCCGACTGCTCCATCATCCCAGACTTCAAATCCTACCCTCTTCAGTGCCAGAATAAAGACGAGAAAAGAAATCACGCATTTTCATTTGAATATACACCAGCAACAACCTCACAAAACCCCGACAAAAAAACAAAAAAACAAAAAAAAAACAGAGAAGCACAAACATTCCGACGCGCGCAAACAGACGAAGACGAGACACAAACTCGAACTCACACGCACACAAACACACCTCCCAGACACACAGCACATGCTGACAGACAAACACACAAAGAAACAGCAAACACAAAGCACAGCACAGCCAGAACTCTACTTTATGCAGAAATATTCTAAAGTGTGTTTTACAATACAATTAAACATCAAAGGCGGAGATATTCCTCTGTGATCTTTAACACCCCAGTGAACAAACCCCACACACCCCCATCCACTTACAGAACACACACACAAAGTTGCTGAGCGTCACCGCTAATTACTAGATAGAGACAGAAGAAGATTTTGCATTATTATGCACAAACCAGGACATATTCAAAAATATGCATTCAACCCAGCCTAAACCATTCAAGGACAGTGTTATTTACTTAAGATGATTTTTTTTTTAAGTTTTAGGGGTAATTGTGGCTCCTATAAAGATCTATAGACAGTGCTCCGAAGGCACAGAAACATTTGGGTGAACATTTCCAACAGTTAGGAGGACAATGAAAGGGAGATCTGTTCAAATGAGTAAATAAACACATGGTGAGGGTGAGCCCTACACTTTTCATTAGTGCTATAAAAAATGTACAAAAAAGGGGAAAAGAGACTTGTTCTCTCATGGAGCAAAGGAGGGAGCACCTGCCTTGTGCAATAAACAAGAACACAACAAGCCCTTGAGTTGTTATTAAAGTTAAGTGTTTTCTTCTGCTTATGAATAGGCAAGAGTTTAACATTTGCACACTTTTGTGTCAGATAAATGTACTTAAAAGAGAGCTTATCTTTATTCTTTCACATCTGGATTTTAAGTGTTTTCTGCTGCATTTATTTCAAAATAAACGGCCAAAATATACCGCATGGTTCGCCCGATTTACAGAGATGTTTCTTGATGGTTCCAGATATGATATTCTCCTTATTTATGGGGTAAATATGATTCCCTACAATTGACTCTTATATTAACCTTCTCGTTTGAGCCAAAGGGCACAAAGTCCAATTACAGCACTTCAATATCTTTCTGCAGATCTCGCCAACCTGCAATCTGCAAATGAGTGTTTTACTGTGCAAACTCTGCAAAACCCTTCCCAAAATATTTGAAACCATTAGAGTGAGGAAAAAAAACTTTAAAGCACAGCAAATGCAAAAGCGGCTATTAAATTATTTGCTTAAACATAAATGCTTCTGATGTTCCCATTAGGAATAATGTTTTCATAGATCTGGGTTTCCATAAGGAGCAGATCTTGAAATGAGCTTCTGTACTGAGGCAGCACAGTGGTGTACTTTACTACTTAAAAAAAAAAAATACAGTCTAGGGAGGACATATTTCACATCTATCTGATGAGAATTTGTTTCATAGATCCATCAATTATTTTTAAATGTCTGAAAAAAAGTCATATTTTGTTCTATGCTATCCACTTTTCAAACACATGTTAAAACCCTGACCATGGCACACCATGTGTCCCTCCCCTTCACTTAACTAAAGCTTCACTGAGCCCCTGGTGTACAGCAAAGTGCCCTGACAATCGGCTCAATGCCCCGGCCAATCACAGGGACACGTGACCTCCTAATCCCTCTCTGTGAGAAGGGTAAGAGTATGTTGTCACTGTTGGTTTTGTGAATCAGCGCCCAAAATCCCAAATGATTTGTCAAGAGGGAGAGGTCTTAAGAGAATAAGAGAAACAAAAGCAGCACAGGCCAGAAAGTGTGGGTGTCGCTGTGTGTGTGTGTGAGAGAGTGTGTGTGTGCAGAACTTAAAGACATACAGACAGAGGAGGGACACCATGCTTTTGTCTGGCCATTTGTGTGTGTGTGTGTGTGTGTGTGTGTGTGTGTGTGTGTGTGTGTGTGTGTGTGTGTGTGTGTGGAGGATTGTGCGCGACTACATAGGTGCATGCATGTGTGTGTGTGTTTGTGCAGGGTCTCTGAGATTACCGGGCTTGGCTGACAGAGTCCTCAGTGTGTAATCGTGGGTCCACATGCGAGTGCTCACCTTTCTCTGAGCGGATTAACCTAACGCTAAATCCCAAGAGAGCAACAGGCCAGACAGGCCACACAGAACAACTTCATTGAAGATGGGCAGGAGAGGAAAGGCCATGTGTAAAAATCCTTTGCACAGATTTACACACTTTAATATATTTTATCACCAGTAAACAACTTCAATAGCATAAAGAATTGTAGAAAAATAAAATAAAATAAGACAATGTATGGAACACAATATCTTCCTAAAATTAAAAGAAGTATCTCAAATATTTCCTCTACTTTATAATGTGTGTATCTTCTTTTTTCCAAATACAACAAACTGTAAAATGCAATAATGGAGGAAGTGCCCGAGTGCATGCAGGATGCGTTTCAGTCATAAATATAGTTTGCATGCTGTTGTGTAACGAAACACTTTATCACTTAAAAATTTTAGTTGTCCAGAGAACATCTTTTTTATCAAATGTAAAACTTGCTGTGATTCTCAAAATGTGCAGTGAATATTATATTAGTTTAATTTATATTAAGAGGCTGCAGCTATCTGTACAATTTATTGATTTTCTTTTAACTTTTAAAACAGACAGTATTTATTGGCGTGAATAAAATGTAGTTATCATGAAACCATAAGAAAAAGGATAAAGAGATTTACATAAATGCTCATATTGATGAGCATGAGTTAAATGCTCGTAGCCAAGGCAGTTCCAGAATCGGTCTAAATTAAAATGATCCGTGCTGTAATCAAAACATTTAAAACCGTCCTTAGTTTATCTTCACATTTAATCAGTGGGCCTCCTTTTTCTTTAAGTGAAAAAAAACAAACATTTTATTTTATTTTATTTGTCAGGCTGCAAACTGGGAAAGTTTCCACAGGTTAATAAGGGTGTCATCATTAATCTTCTCACTGCAACAGGTTCACCTTTGCCACAACAGACTGAACTTAAAACTCAACTCACGTTATAAATGTATTTGTTCCACTGTAGTGAGAAAGGTCTAAACATTTCAGTTACAAAATAAAAGACAATTGATTTATAACTGAGCCTGAACACGGCAAATTGTCTCTAAAAACTCTGAAGTACAAATCAGTTATCACAGTTGAATGATGAATTGACATGTCAGACAAATTGTGTTGTGCTGTATTGAACTTTGTAAATTATTTATGTTTACATGAATTAGTCTTATTGTGCATGTTTATGGCAGTTGTCTTTGTACAGGTTATCCTATTTGAATGCATAGTAATAGGATAATTCTGATCATTAGTTTACCTTCTTTTAGTTTGTTTACACTAATAGACAGGAACAAATATAAAGAAGTAATGCCATCAAATGTGTAGGGAGTTTTACTAAAGTATGTTACTGTAATGAAGCTGATATACTGAAATAAAAAAAAATAAAAAATAGGCTACTCCAAAGTTTTTTTTCCCCAGTGTTTTACTAAATTATTTTGTTAAAATGTAAATCCGGTAATATGTACATTATTTATTTAACTAGTACTTGAACAGAAGCAACTTTTCATGTATCAACAAATACGCATTAGTGTGGAACATACTGTTTCACATTGGAGGGCAACCTATTGAATCTCTGTGTCTTCAGGACTGCATGTGGACATGTGAAAGCTTCACAAGGTCGACACAAATATTATCCTTTACCTGAAGCTCGAGACAGCACACCTTGACTCTTCTAATAAACCATAAACAGTTACTTGATGTCAGCTGGTAATTACAAGGCAGGGTTGTCACCGGCATGAGTCGATCAGGGTCACAACAAATCAATACACGCAGTTACTGTACTTTGTTGATGAGGCAGCGCGAATGAAAATAGACCCTCAAGTTTCCCCCCTTTTGAAGATTAAAAATAAAGATCATATGATGCATCATGTGTTGCGAATGTTAAGTTGTAAGTGAAGTGCTCGGTACTTACTTTATTGCGCACGAAATCTGGTCCGGGTGAAGTAAGTAAAAGGCTACAACAAGCGGTCCGCCGGTGCTTTGGTCCGGCCGGGTGACAGGAGGGTTGAAGCCGCTGCTTGGTGGGGACGGACTTCGCCAAGACGCGCTTAAAATCCAAGAGCGCAACTTAGCAGAGGACGTCGCCGGGAGGAAAAAAAGTAACCTACAGTACGTGGTAGGAGACTCTATAATGTCAGAGCAACTACTCTCTCTCTCTCTCTCTCTCTCTCTCTCTCTCTCTCTCTCTCTCTCTCTCGCTCGCTCGCTCTCTCTCTCACTCTCTCTCTCTCTCTGGTCGGACAGTGTCTGCGCAGGAGGCGGCGAGAACGCTTCTCTTGGACTCTCTGGCTGCGAGGTGCCGGTGTAGCGGAGAGGAGGGACGCGGTGGAGTGGTGGTGATAGTTGAGGAGGTGCTGGTAGTTAATCTGCTGGACGTCTGGATCCTGACGGGTGATGTTCACAATCTGTTTCTGTTCCTTCCACACAATCCTGCCCGAGTCTTTCCCCAAGCCCTCTCCTTCCTCTCCCTGAGCGAGGAGAAATAATCGATTTTTTTTCTCTCCCTTTTTTTGACTCCTGAAAGGGGGCGGGCTCACATTTCCCAATTCTACTTTAATGAAAGAGGCACGGCTCGTAATGCTTTATTATCGCGCCAGCCCCGGTAGAGTGGACGCACAATTAAGTGCTCAGAGAGGACCACTAGAGGAAGATGATGGGGGATGTGTGCTTTAACTAATGAACCAACGGAGAGCGCGTTAAGCATCTGCAGCCCACTTTAGACTGCTGAATCCGAGGCAGAGAAGTTCATGCTTTTTGTTGTTGCAGATTTAGTTTCTACTATTGTCTAGAGCATTTCACATCAATGGAATATAACCAAAGCCAAACTTGTCTAAAAGAAAAACAACACTTAAATGTGCTATCAAAGAGACACTGATAGGTAATAAAGCAAATCTGTCTACTGACTGCAGTTGGATTGTTAAAGATAACGATTAAAAAAAAGGAACTTTGAATAAGTTTTCTGTGAAGACAAAACATCCTGAATCCAAGAAAATTTCAATTAAATGAATCAATGTGTGACATTAAATGTAATGCTACGCTTGCAAAATAAGGACAATAAAGAGTATGAACTCATGCATCTTGTTCAGTAAGTCCCAAATAAAACCATCTTTCATGTCTGTGTTCCCTCTTTTCTGAGTAACAACAAACTTTCCACCTCCCCGCACACGCCGCCAATCATCCTCCAGGACCCGCTATCTCCTGCAGATAAGCCCTGACACAGACAGTAAGCATGGGGGAATTACTGAGCCTTTATCCACCCAGCCAATGATTTCAAAACATCCACTCTATTAGTGTGAAGATAACAATTAGAACAGCAAGTTTGCCACTTCAGATAAGACGCAGACGCTGTCTGTACAGAGATGTTTCCCGGATAGGCCTTGTAATACTTGGCTTCTATTATACTCACATTATATGGCTGCTGGATCAGTTTAAGGATCGTTAATAGCTGATTTAAATGAAGCCTGTTATACTGCAACACACCATCAGGTCTCACTCTTGAGTTTCCATAAATCAAACCACAAAAAAAAAAAAATCCTAGATTCTGATGAACAAGGGTGTTTGAAGTAGAGATATTCTGATCCCTAATTTTTTCCTCCAAGATACTGATGCAAATACCTAGAATTAAGATACACGCAATCTTTCATACTAGTGTGTTTCATACACTTTCTTAGACTCAAGTCTATGTAAGCGATTACAAGAATATCCTCCGGTAGACGTGGAATACATGGAATACATTTGATTGCATGACAAAGTTAGAGTACGCACAGGGAGCCAGGGAGGCATTTGAGGTAAACCTTCCAACTGGACCTCACGTTAGTGAAAGTTCAGAGTTTTTACAGGATTACAGCGGCTAGAGATGACTTATTGATTGTTGTCTGGGTGTAAAGACCGCTTTAACAAATATTACTAATGTTTATGCTGGATAAAACTACCAATCCTACCTTAAAATCATGTCTCCATCTCACCTTTATTGGCAGTTGAGCATATCCACTTTTTTTGCGCTTTTATTCCTTGTATCTCTCCCTACGTTAATTTTTATTTCCTTTCCTGCTACATTTTCATCTTTTTAAATATTTTCTCCTTGTGGTTAAACTTCATTTTGACTGCATTTTTGTGTCGCTTGCTGTGTCTGGCCAAGTTATTTGGGTTCTTTTTTGCTTACTTATTTTTTCACGATATTCACGATAAGCTCTTTGAAAACTCTTGTTTAACAATGTTTAAGTAAGGTTATTTGTACGACACATTTCCACTTAACATGGAATAGATAACCTGTGTTGTTGAAATAAGGACAGCAGCAAAGCCTTTCCCCTAACTAGCACAGCTTTGCTCTACCTGTCACTGCAGACTGCATGAAGTGTAAGTGGACACCAAGCAGCACCCTAATCTTTCCCTCCCTTTGAAGTTCACCTGTGAAGCATAAGACCTGTATGCAACGACCCACTCACCCTCCCAGTTAGTCAGCGATGGAAATGGCGGGACATGAAATCAGTTAATAAATAAATCAAGCCTGCTAATCTTCTTGACGGTGTGGACATTACAGCCTGTAACTGAAGCCGCTGGTGTCTGATGACTCGGGATACCACCTTCACATCACCTGACCCTTTAATCTTTAATAGCATTTCCTCCGACCCAAGACCTACACGATAATCAATAAGGTGTAGTCTGCTAGACACAATGGGTTCACAAATGCAGCGTGGTCAAGAGCATCATCAACAGCAAGCGTTTGAACGATACAGATTGGTGCCCCCTTAAAAGACCCCATTTTCCACCTTTAGACCTCTGAGCGGTTGTCATATGGGTGCACATGTGGATGTACATACCACGTTCAATATCCCTTCGCTTGCCGTCTTGTGATCACTCAGTCTCTTAGCTTTCTTTACTGTCTGTCAGCAATTCATGGGAGAGGTCCTTGCAGCGCTCACAATGCTTGAGGTTGTCTTTGGTTCGGCACCTGTGAAGAAAAGTAACACAGGAAGAGTGAAGATGAGGAAATACAGTGGAATAGTAATTGTTTGCTTCACCTAGTAAGCATTTTCCATGTTAACATCTTTGTGTGTCTTCATGTGTGATTGTGTGTTTAATGTACATATGAAATACCAAGAAATACATGGGGGGAGGTGGATGGAATATATTTGAATGGTGGGAAAAAAAATCATTAAACGAGGCAAACACAGGCTCATGCATATTCATAATGACAGTCTGACTTGTCCACAGGGATAAACTTAGTGAAGGCGCACTAACACGCTCACACATTTAATGCAAAGCAGGAAAGACCCAATGCATATTTTTTGCTCTTGAGACTGCCAAGTAGGTGTCGACAGATAAATCTGAATATGGTTAAAAAGCCATTATAGTCAGATGATTGTTGCCTTGCATTAGGTTGTCCTCAGTATGTCATATTATATCTGTTAGGGCTGATAAATTCAGTCAGGTACTAAAAAAGTAGTTTTCAAAAAGCAGAGCCTGATGTGGGTTAAATATTGTAGGGATTTGTGTTATCTTGTGCCAAAGTATTTAGCTTTTAATTAAAGGGAATTCGATGATTAGTTTTGTGCTATCTGAAACTTTTGCTGCCCAAATCCTTAGCCATTGTTCCTCATTTACACTCAGAAAATCCTGAACTCATGTTTAGAAACGTGTGTGTGTGTGTGTGTGTGTGTGTGTGTGTGTGTGTGTGTGTGTGTGTGTGTGTGTGTGTGTGTGTGTGTGTCAAATGTGGGTTGACACCCTAATCAAAGCCTGCTGGAGAAAAATCAACAGTTGGCCAAAACAATTATGTAATTTCAAATATGTCTCAGTGTGTATATACACACGCACACGCACACCCTTTAGGCTTTTTGGTAAATGTAATTTTCGTGAGGTTTGGCATCAGGCGTGCTTAAAAAAAAGCGAGGACGGGAAACTGCGACTTCATGTTAAGTCAAACACATAAGTGCGGTTTGGTGATATTGATCTTGCTTGGATTGTTTCTTAAGCCTCTCCTGGCAGCCACTTCACAGCATGTGTCACACACACACACACACACACACACACACACACACGTACAACAGCTCGGCTTAAAATGTGTGTTTTTTTTTTTTGTAATGCGAGGGAGAAAGAAAGGAATGCCTCTCTCTTTCGCTCAAGAAAAAAAAAAAAAAGATAAACACAAACACATTTCCAGGGCAAACAGGAACAGCCCGGGCTCGGTGCAATCTGTTGTCGATCATGCTCACGTGAAAACACAATCTGCCTGTCACAGTCGATGATGTTGTCAAGCTCTCTGCCTTTCTGCTCCTGAGAATTAGCCAGCTACTGCGAGACACATTTGCTGTGTGTCAGATATGTTTTGAGGATGCTCCCAGCTTTATGTGGTATTTACTGCTTTCAGTCGTTCCTCCTGCGCTCTGTCCCTGATGAATTTCAGAGACATTTGAAGCTTTGACACCAGATTGATGCTACACGATGTGACGACCCAACCCGGCACAGGGGGTACACAAAGACCTGCAGGCCAACTCAGTTTACGGGCTCAGCTGGTGATCCATAACTCTTACAAATACTTATGTGCATGTGTGCGGGTGACTTAAGGGTAGGCTGACATTGGTGTTTAAAGGGCAGTCCCAGTACCCTTATTTTTAAACTGATGTCTCAATACATCATGCTGATATCAGTTGGATGACTGAAAATGAATAATTTAAGGTTTCCTCTGAAATTGTTTTGTTGACATGATGGAGGAGCAGCCGAAAAGTTTTAACCATGAAATATGAGTAAATTCTGCTTCATATTTAGTTAAAGTAGACAGAGGAAAAATACAATAAGCCTAAAGAAATAAACAAGAGATATAAATGAAGAAATCATTTAGAAAAAGCAAAAATTCAAGTAAGTGCATTTACAAAGTGCTGTACGACACCGTGTGTACATCTATGTATTTAAAGGCCATCTTTAAAATCATCTTGTATAAGTGTGTATGCCATATACTCTCCAGATCTTTTGCACATTTATACAACAAATAAGTTACATTTTTGTTTTAAATAAAGCATATTTAAACTGCACTGTCCTTCATGCATGCTTTATTCATGTTAACAGATCATATCCATATTGTACAGGCCTGGAGGTTTCTGTTTTCAGAAACAGAAAAATCCTTTAGAACTCATCTCACACTTTGTATAAGAAAGATGAGAGACATTTCCCTGATGATGTGCGCCTGGTCTTTGTGTAAGTCATCCAAAGCGTTTTATCACACCTGATTTGGTGCTCCTTATTAATAAGGTTTATAATGAAACTCAGAGGGCAATATCATCAGTAATTACAGTCACAGGAATTGTACCACTGAACAGTGTAATTAGGGGAGCAAAGGTGAGGATATCATTTTTAATTAACTGTAATCATATGTCCTGATTTTAATAAAATATAAAAAACAAAGACATCCATGATTCTGGGTTAGTATTTATTCATGCTTTTGTAATTTACAGGTGACATACCTCTTACTAAATTAAGATCACAGGTAATATT